AAACTCGCAGCACCGCGGTACTGCCCAGAAAGGAAAGCGAGGAGAGGTACGCTAGCTCTGGCCTGTGCAAGAAGCAGAGGCAGGGCCCAGCGTATAAGCTGCCGGAGGCTTCCAAAGGAGTTTAGTGATCTGGAAAGAAAATCGGCATCATCATTCTTCTCGCCAGCAATGTGGCTGCAGTCCAGCGTGATGCCCGAAAGCGAACTCCACATGCAAAGCTTGCGAACGAAAAAGTTCAAAGAGGTTTTGGAGGTATACAGCTTGTTACACACAGCTTCTGCCCCACTGTTATCGCTGAGGGCTGGTAGTTTCAAAGCCAAGCGTCCGGCACCTGAGAATTTCCAGAAGGCAAGCAGAATGAAGCACTGTGCCAGGGTCTCGTAGCTGGATATGTCCAGGTTGGCATCACTCTGTACAGGTATGCCCAAAGCTGTAAATTGTTGCACAGTAAAAGGCTGAGAAAACCATACCATGCGACCACTTGGAAACTTTAGCCAGCCTCCTACCCCGCATTGGTTGCCCTTGCCAAAAGCATCTGCCGCTGTTGTAACCGCCACCAAAGCGGGTGGCCTGAGCGGGCGAGGTCGCCACTCAACAGAACTCAAGTGCTGAAAGAAGCGGAGAACAGCCACGCTATCCTGACAAAGCTTTCTTCGAGAGGAAGTGGGATCAGCGATCCGCATCCATATCCTCTTGGTGCTGACCGGAACCTTGCAGAGGTCTTCCTTGGAGCAGCTCGACATGACGGGCTGACAGAAGCTTGGCTCCTTTGCTCACCGCCGTGCTGGGAGGCGATGATGTAAAGCGGAGCTCCTCATCCAGGCCAGCCCACAAAGTGGGGCTGACACTGACATTGGTGCCAAGCGGCCTGTGCATGTCGTCGTAGAGAGAAGACAACCAGGGCCTCAAAGTGGGCATACCGTGCAGAATCCATTGAAGCAGGCCGAGGAGCTTGTCAAGTTGCTTGCGGGAGACCTGGCGGTGTCGAAGGCATTCTGACACAAGCTCGTAAAGCTTGTTGCGCTTGGCTTCTGGAAGTGAGCAGCAAGCGCAGGACAGGTTGATTTCCCAACCAATCCACGTTATTGTCTGACCCAGTTGAAGCTTTTTCCATGAAAGCGGAATCGTAAAGCGTGCACAAAAGGCCAGTGTCAAAGCCGCTGAAAGCGGTAAGACTTTGCTGTTCTGAAAGAGAAGTAGATCATCGACATAAAGCAAAAGAACGTGAGACAGCCATGGTGAAGAACCCACCAATGCAGGCGAACCAATGGCTCGAAAAAGTGGCCCCGAAGGGACAAACGCGGTAGAAAAGCAGGCGCTCCTGCTGTCTCATGCCCAAAAGCCCAACGTCGCGCTCACGTACCCTGGACGTCTTGTGAGCGCCTGTCACGTCGAGGCTGAAGCCCTTGGCATGACCTCAAGGTACCCCGCTTCTATTTCTTCCTCCACAAGCTGCTGGAGTAAAGCGGGGTCCTCTTCTGCGCCTTTCCAGTTTCCCTCGCATATCAGAAGCTGGTGGCCTTCGTCAGTGTCGGACTCACGACGATCGGCCGAAGCGTGTAGCTCCGGGGTATATCCCCATCAAACCCCGTTGGCACACCTTGAAGCGGTGCTGGAAAGAGGGACGTGTCTTTGTCTGCGACCAAGCGGCTGAGTCGCGACAAAGCTGACAAGCAGTACGGTTGTCCCTCAGGGACAGAGAAGTCCCAGTCCTGAGAAAGCGAGTGCTGATCGGAAAAGCGTTTGAAAGACTGCTGCAACCATGCGGTTTCGCTCTCCGAGAAAAGCGGTGAGTCGCGATGCTCCGAAACGTGCTGAGCGAGTCTTTCAGGAATGTGCTTTTCCAGAAGCCACTGCCGCCACTCCTTACGTAGGTCGCAAAGCAGATCCGACTGATACCTGGGGCCGTAGGACCAGTCTGGAGTGGAGTAAATGCCACCCCGGTCCTGCGCACCAAAAGGGGGTGCGTTGCGTCCTTTGCGGGGTATGCATTGCAGTGCAAAGCTGAGCGAACAAAACGCTGTCTGGTCGTGAACGACGTAACCACAAAAAAGGGGATTGACCAGCTTGCTGTAGTGCACCGCTAAAGCTGTCGGGTATGCTGCGGTGCGCTGGGACAGAAAGTTGCCTTTTGCGTCCCTTGCGCCAATGACAGAAGCATGTTGACCCTGGTGGGAGCATGTAGCGGCCATAGCCTTGAGTGGGGCAAAGCTGGAGGCAAATAACCATTGCTTTGCAACATCAACTCCCACTGAACAAGCAGCAACAACTGAAAGCGTGGCCTGTATCTCTGAAAGGAAATCCTGAACGAGGGGTTCGAGCCAGGCCATAGAGTTAGCTGGCTGTTCCAGGGAAACGTGACCTCCTGAGGCGAACACAGCGCGTAGTACGCAGACCGAGCGATACATGAGTTTCTGACTGGTGAGCACACGTTGCTGCTGTTCTGTAGTGTTCTCTGGAAGGCCGTTGAGGAACTCTGGGCTCCGAATGGCCCTGGGGCCGCCTGGCCTAAGCTTCAAGCGGGAGTACTCCTTGCACGGTGGGGCTGCATGTGCCATACGTACCACACCTGAGAAAGCCAGGAGCAATATGCTGTCGTAAGTGGAGTCCTCAAGCAGGTCAAGGGGTTCTGAGCCCAGAGCGTCGACACAAACACATTGAATACCTGAAAGTCGCAGTTGATCCGAAAGCGGAGCATTGGCCCCACAGCAAACATCAAGAAAGAAGCCGGGCTCGGCTGTGTTTGCCATCTTCGGAGGCTGCTCTGCGTCGACTGATGAGCTGGAGCTTCCCTTGTATCCCCAGGAATCGGAAAACCCAGAGAACGAATGTAGGAAAGTTGCTCCGGTGTGAAACTCGCCAAGCCACGACATGTGTAATCTGTAAGCACCCATCTGTCACCTGAGAATGGGCATGTGCAGTGAATGTGCTCGCAAGGGAAAGCAGTAGCGCTTTCAAAGGTGTCAATGAGCTCCCCAAGCTGCATCTCATCCACCACAAAAGTTGCCCAGTGAGATAGAAAAGTTGGTGCTACCCGGTTGGTTGCCTGCATCTGTATGTAAAAGCGCGCGAACATTGTGGCTCACACAGATAGAAGACCAGCTGCCACCCGGGAAAAGCAAGGAAAGAAATGAGTTCAAAAAACGTACAATGTCGGAGAATTGCTCTGTATGCTGAAAGATGCCCACTCTTTTGCCATCGTCAAAGTCGAAGGCTCCGAGGTTGAAATAAGCATCGGCCTGAGCGATTGCCGTGTCCTGAGATTGTCGCGTGAAGTTCGTGGCATCGGAAAAGTATTCCTCCAAAAGCGACAAGCAAGTTGAAGTCACTCGCAGACATAGCGCGTGACGCCGCTGAGCTATCTCGCGCAGCATGTACCACCTCGGTTGACTCCCGGTTTCCTAGTGGGGCGTGCTGACGTGCTGGGAAGCGGGGTGCTTGCCCCCACACGCTGACCCGTCTGGCTTCGGAACTGCGCATCTGTGGTCTGTGAAGGTAGCGGCAAGTGGAAGGATCCTTGCACTGGCCTTGCTGATAGCGCATGCAAAGCGTGTGCTGCTTGCCCTCCATAAAGAGGGTGGAGAGCCACTTGCTGCCGAGGTTGCAACGCCGATGTCCGGAGAATCTTCGACCAGGCGCATTTTGCCCGGTCCGCTTCATTCTTTTTGGGAGAGCCAGGGATTTAACTCCATTTAACCTGGATTTAACCGATCATCTTTCAAACTACTTGTTAAGTAGCCAGGTTAAATGCAAAGTTAAATGGAGTTAAATGCCTTTGAATTCCTTTGTCTACGCCATGGATCGGCCAGGATGCCGGAGGAGGCTGGATTCCGAGCTCTCCTGATGGGTCTTACCGCCGAGCAAAGAGCCGTCGAATCCTGCTCACAAAACCCAACCGCACCCACCCAACGCCCAGAATCCTTGTCTACAGATGTGTCACCAGTGCAGGAAGCAATGGTGAGCCGCACAGGCACCACAATTGCAGCCAACGCTTCCAGAGGCTAGAGAGCAACAGGTCAAATCTATGGCATGTTTCAGGTCTGTGGACAAATGGGAGCTTGCCGTGCATCTGCTGCATGTGCAATTGACATGCATGTTCCGGAGCTTCTGTGCTTTGCGTCCGACTGGCCGTGCTCACTAGTGCTTGCTTAAAGTAAGCACCCTTGTTGGTTCAACTTTCTAAGCATGCTCGCAATTCTTATGGCAAGCCTCCTGCCCTTACCCGACAGACGGCGAAGGCCAAGGCCAAAACCGGGCCCAAGGCCAAGGCGAAGCCTTCGGCCAAGGCTGAGGCCAAGGCCACAGCAGCGAAAGCAAAGGCCGGAGCCGCCCGACCGGGTGCTGAACAGAGACAGTGCGCTGAGAAGCCAAAAGAAACTCAGCAACTTGGTGACCCAATGCAAGTCCCAATTCGCGGAAGTCCTGTCCCTGAACATTCTGAGCCATTCTCAGGGAGGTGCATTGCGATTTCCCGAATTCTGAAAAGAGTAGATCGGAACAGCTTTGCTGCTGGGCCGTTATTCAGAAACACTGGCCGTCTCTGTGCGTTTCCGTGCATTCAGGGCTCTCGCGCGGGCCTGCTTTACACATCCAGCTGTTCAGCTACAATGGCTTGGAATCTTGTGAGTAAGAACTACTATTTGTCTAGCGCACGTGCGTTTGCGCAAGTTCGTGTAGTTTGTAAGCTTCATCCAACATTGTGGCAGCATTGTTTTCCATGGTTTTCACCAAAATCAAAGCTCTGACACATTGCACGCTTACTTTTGCATGTTCTGCTGTCTCACCATGCCTTGATGCCGCTATGCCATTGTGCGAACCCATACTTCACGGGAAGCGGGGCAATGTGCTTGCCATTGAAATCTGGGAAGCGGGGCAACTGAGGGAGGCCGATGATATGAGCCGGAGAATTAATTGCTGAACGACTCTTGCCGGCTTGGCGTGTGGTCGCAGCTTGTTTCACCGATTATTCGTCGTTTTTTCGTTCTTTGTTGCTTCTTGTTAGGACCGAGTGCGGCAACCGCCGTCGACGAGGCCTGCTCACGCGAAAAAAGCTTAATGCCGACAATACAAGCATTCTTGCAAGAATTTTAAAGCTTCGCCAAGAGATGTTCGATTGTAGAATCGTTTATTTTGCGAGATTAGTTGATTAGTTGTTTGTGGTTTCAATTTTTGACCCACTGTAGGTTTAAGGCATTGTCTACATAGTTCGTGAAGCATTTCCTGTTTTCGTGAGCTTCACCCAACATGGCAGTATTGTTTTCCATGCATTTTCAGCAAAACCAAAGCTTAATGCAGACAATACAAGCATTCTTGCAAGAATTTTAAAGCTTCACTTCGACCTGTTCGATTGTAGAATCGTTTATTTTGCGAGATTAACTGATTAGTTGGTTCTGGTAAAATTTTTTGACAAACTGTAGGTTTGAGGCGTGCATTTGTTTTTGCTTTGGTTTTGGCTGTTATGGTTTGTAGTTCTTTCAAGAGAAAGCATTGCTTCGCTTTTTTGGTTTTGCAAAAATGTACGCGGCAAGTTTGCAAGCCGTTGTCAAAACGTGAGGCTAACAAGCAGCGCGTTGTTAGTTTTTGTGTTGTCATTATGTTTGGTGTGCACGTGCTTGTGGAAGCAGCGGTCAGAAAAAAGACCCTGGAGGCCCAGAAAAAGATGCCTTGGGGTCCAAAAAAAGATCCGGGGTCAGCTACGAGATGTTTCGGGGCCGAGAAAAAGACCACATACTTCAGACCATTGGTGTCGAAAAAAAGCTCGTAGTCTTTTTCTGGGCTTCGTCGCGGGGTTGGAAAAAAGATAGGGGGCGAAAAAAAGACATGTTGGGGTCAAAAACGAAATAGGCCAATCGCGCGGTCTGGAAAAAGACATTTCGGGGTCGAAAAAAAGACCAGCCCTTTTGTTTCAATCAGATCCACAAGCTTGGTGGTCGACAATTGAGGCGGCCATTTTCTTCCGACTCAAGCCTTGGGGTGCCTTGGCAACAAGATCATCAACCAGGTGCCCGAGATTTCAAGGCAGTTGTGCACGATCATGTAACCAGGTGGCAGACTTACCAACTGTAGCTCGTTACACGTTGTTTTTGTGTNNTGGTAGGCTTGTGAATCTATACACATCGCAGTGTATAGGCTCTAGCACTGGCCTACTCGTTAGCAAAAAGCAACTGAATTGCAAGCCAAATCCATTGTTTAAGGTTGAGGCGTTTCCACAAAAAGGGAACCAAGCGCTTTAACGTTTCCATCACTGCTAAGGTGCTGCGCCTGCAGCAAACGTAGCTTCCTGCTCTTTAGGGTTGTTGACTCAACCCAAGTCTCTCGGATTCCTGATGGGCGCACTCTCGTCGACTGGAAGAACGAGACCATCTGAGTGCTCTGCTTTACACAGGTCGTAACTTTTGGCATGCTCCAAACACAATTCCATCGTGCTTAAATTCTGGAGAAGACACGTGAAGTGTGACTTTCACCGTCACCCCGGAATGCAGACAGCGGCCAGTGCCGTGGAAAGTGAAGTCAATCAAAATTCGCCCTTGAGTTGCTAGTGGTAGGTGGAGCGCTTGCACTTTGGAAGTTGACCGTACCCTCTTTCTTTTCGAACTGACGGGTGAGGTGGTCGACGATGTGGTTCCAATTCCATCTTCTCGACGAAAAACATCGTGGATTTGTGTTTGTGCATTCGATCCAAAAGGCTGCAGTGTTTTTGAGGTGTTTCGGCCTTTTTCTAGAGTCGCACTTCCTTGACAAAGTTAGCATCGCACGCGCTTGATAGATTTTCATCTGGGCCTCGATTCAGATTTTTGTTTTCATTTTCTTTCTACGTTTTTTCCGCCCCAGTCTTAGAACTTTACTTTGCCTTGCTGGGTCTATGAATCACAAGGCATGTGTTGAGCGGCATGTTGCCTTCATGATGTTTCATGACCTGGATCATGTCAACAAGTTGTCACTTGATTGATTCTACTGTGTTTGCGATGCCAGTCATGAGTCATGTTGTTCAAAGATGCAGTCGTCATCCTGCAACAATGGAAAGCACGTTGCTTCGCACATGTCCTCTTCAAGGAAGCAGGCCAGCTTGTGCACCATGCAGATGGTACACAATGCTCCCATCTTGACAGGTCACATCTGAGCACCCTGCAAGACTTTACAGGCGCGGTGCTGCTGCTTGCGTTCGCTTGTGACTGCTGACAGCAGGTATCATTGATTTTAGACTCCGAGTCAAGAGGCGCGGTATTGGCCTGTCGCCGCAGTGGGCGATGGCAGGAGTCAAGGTTTCTGTCCGGAGCTGACTTCATGCGAGCCTGTGGCTGCGTTTCGGTTCGCACAAGATACTCCGAGGCTAAGTGAACTCTGCGAGAGTCTGCTGAAGCTAGATGCAGCATCGCTCTCGGAGTGTGGATTCTGGCTGTCTGTTGCAGTTTGTGTATGTTGGCTTTCGTCGGATTTGGTACCTTCATCGAGCTTCCAAGCAGCCGTCGAGGTCATCTGCAGCGCCTGCCACTTGGAACAGAATAGCTTCCTTTTCCTAGGTGCAGTCGTTGCAAACTTGATGCACGTTTGCTGTAAAATCGTTTTCGGTGTCGCATGCCTTACAGAAAGACGATGTACTCGGGAATCCTTCTCCTGAGCTGACAGCGCAGCTCCTTCTCCTTGCAGTGCAGGCATCGGCACCTGCGCCAAGGCATGCGGTGCACAGGAAGTTTGAAGACAGATGGAATGCACACATCAGAACAGCCCAGGTGAAGCAATGGCCATGGTCCATCGAAGAATTTTCTCACATGCAAACCGCGGGTGGGCTTCCAAAGTGCGTGCGCGTGTGTGTGTGTGTCTTTGTGTTTGCGCATGTCTGTGCTCGAGAGAAGAGATAACAGATAAGGTTTGCAAAGTTCAGGTCTCGAGCTTGACGTCGTGGCATGCGGAGTGGAGTGCTTATGGCAAGCTCGGTGCACGATGGTTGCATGCCGGCTGAAGGTCTGTCGCATACTTCTGGCCGTGAGGTTGTTTTGATTGCATCTAGCACCTCGGGAAGGTGGGAAGGCCCCATCTTGCAGTGGCAGAGTGTCCAGGGCCCAGGGTTTCGGGGTCCTTTGAGGGTGACGCTCCGCACACAGGAGCATCGATGCTGCTCGCCACCATGCAAGGGCAGAAAACTGAAGCAAATGCAGGAGGCCCAAGGGCCCAAGACCGACCGGAGCGTTCTGGAAGTCTGTGTTCCCGAGGTTGTGAACTACAACTCTAGCCTGAGTGCATGCGAGAAGGCATTTTCGTGGGTCAAGCTCTCGGGTTCAAAGGTTGCTGCAGCCTCTCTCCTGTCGCGGTCCTATTTTCAGACGAGGTACAGTCTACTGAAATATTTGATTACATGGCAATGGCGGGGTTCTGAAGATGCACTTGATGCAGTTCAAGGCACGTGAGTCCCCCACCCCGAAGAATTCCAAGGTAATGGTAGAGGCAGATTTGATCACGTGCCCAGCTCACGTAGTAAGTAGTGAGTAAGGGGTGGACCTCGCAAGCTTGATCCGCAGGTACAGTGCCTTGGCCAATGCTGTGGAGGCAAAAGGTTACTGGCGGTGGGAATCTGAGTGTGTTTTCGCACCGACGTTTTTATACGAGCACAGTTAGGGGACGTTTGCACGGCAATCCTTAACACGGTTGGAGTTGCTACAGGCGGGACATTCATAAAAAGCCAAATTGTACATTACTAAGTACAGCGCCTTGTCAGTTGCTGTATCAACTGTACTGTAGAAAATGTCAATCCCTGACGTCCAGACATACTGTCTTGTTTGACATGTTTCATGTCATGCACCCTACGACCAGTGTAATCCATTGGTTTGCCACGCTCGCAACTGTCCTGCTGCATAAATTGCATGACGCGCCCATACAGCAATGTCCATCACGCCATCCAGCAATGTAGAGATTTTTGTTCGAATATGTTTCAACATGCTACAGTATATACCTTTATATAATGTAGCACCTGGTAAAATGTAGTGGCCTAGGACGGCGGTGGACATCAATTTCCAACTTCGCGAACGAGGCCTTCACAGGGTTACCGGGACGCCAAAAAGCCACCTAAACCCTAAACCCTAAACCCTAAACCCCTAAAACCCTCCACTCCCTCTCAGGCTTACAGGCAGATACTGTCTTGGGCAACACGGTCATCAGTGCCACAGAGAAAGGTGAGGTCCTCTGTCGTCTTAATCGCCGCGGAGTGGGAATGAAGGCTTTTCACTGAAAGTTGAGGCAATCGGTGGAACGTCGCGATCAGTCTTCTTGATCAGATGAGTGCCCTTCTGACAAGCCGATGTAGATAGCAGCTGGATTGCTTGAAATGCATGGGCGCAGGTCTGTCGCATCTGAAGATAACTGAGATCACTGTCGACGTCCCGGCGCGTGGCAGAGAGTCCCAGACATGAGGCTGTGCAACCTCGACCTAGCCCTAGGTCAACTCCGTGATCAGCGCCTGCGAGAAGGACGGGCACCAGGTGTTTGTGGCTGATGCTTGTGGGTAGTTCTCTAAATTAGGGTCCCATTTTAGGGTCCATTTTATAAGGGTGCCGTACTATATTTGGGACCCAAAAAGGGACCCTAATTTAGAGAACTACCCTTGTCCTACCCTGTGCTGATCTGGTCAGGGCTTGCAGTGGCAGCGGGCAGAGTCGTTGCTGTTCATTCGCCCACCAGGCTATGGATCAGGCCACCTGGAAGCAAGCCATGCCAGTGGCTTCTACGTTTCGATAGTTACTGTTGCTGAATCCCGCCATTGCAAACATTGCGATTATGTCACGGAGCAATGATACCACGGCGTTCCATGCGATTGGCCGCCTGTTGCCATATTTATCAACCAACATATGCGTGTGTACATACGTATGTATGTATGTATGTATGTATGTATGTATGTATGTATGCATGCGCGCATGCATGTATGTATGCAGGTAGTTATGTATGCATGTATGTATGTATGTATGTATGTATGTATGTATGTATGTATGTATGTATGTATGTGTGTATGTCTGTATCCTTCTTTCTATTTGTACTTCTTTTTTTGTTATTCCTTTCTCATGAAAGCTTTGGTTTTCCTATGCAGTAGGACTTTCTAGAATGTTGTACACCACACCAGCCAGGGGATCCCTTACTTTCCAATGCACACGTGTTGTGAGCAAGCTAAGACGTGGACGGATCCGTATGCTGCGGCTTTGCAGTTGAATGCTGCCCAGAGATAGGCAAACCAAGAAGGACAGGAACAAGTGGCGGAGTCAGCGCGAAAAGGATCCATCTTCACGCCTTGTCTCTGCTGCGTTTCGGGATCGTAAACTGCTCCAGCTTCACTCCGGCTCCCGGCTACGGGTAGCTTTCTCTCTGCTCGGCTGGCGCGAGTGAGAAGTAACACTACTCGGCATCAGACGTTGGGGCCTTGTCGAGGAGGCCCCAAACCCCAAATCCAGAAGCCTTGACTTTCTGCAGGGCAGCTACCCATAGCAGCCGATACCTTCGCGCGACCTTGCTGAGCTTCTGGAACGGGGGGTACAGTAGGGGTTAGGATTAAGAGTGTGGGTTTGAGGATTCGAGCCAGGGTTTCTTGGGCCGGAGCAGCCGAATGTCCGCGCGTGAGGTGTAAGTTTTGGCTCTTCGACGAAACTTCTCAGGTACAACTCTGTGATGAGTGCCTATGAGGAGTGCAGCCTTTGGATGCAAGGGCTCCGCGCCCTGTCATTGTGCCTTGGTGCCTTTTCAGCGGATGTTGGGAAAGAACGGGCTCATGAGCTCATGTAAAACGGTAGATCAGAAGAAAGGATGTCCAGCAAGCACGTCCGGGCCGACGTGGTGACTTTTACTTCGTCCATCGGTGCGTGTGAGTGGGAGCACTCCTATGAGCTGTTGCACGTCATGCCTGGACATCGCATCGTTCCCAACGTGGTGGCCATGAGCTCTGCAATCAGCTCAGCAGAGAAAGGTGATCAATGGGAGCTTGCACTTTGCACTCTGGCGCTCATGTTGAAGCTGAAGGTTTCCGCAAACGATGTGAGCTTCAACAGTGCCATCATCGCATGTGCTCGCAGTGGGAAATGGGAGCTGGCCCTCCACATACTCGACAAGATGATGGACGTACATCTGGCACCTGACTTGTTCACAGGCACCTCGACTGTCTGGGCCCTGGAAACAACGGGGGAGTGGCAGCAAGCGCTCGATTTTCTGAGATGCATGCCTCAGACCCGCGCGAAGCCCAACGTTTTCGGTTGTGCCTCCGATGTCAACATCTGCGAACGTGACGGTGATTGGCAGAAGGGCTTGCGGTTGATTAACATCTTGTCACAGGTGGCGATGCTACGCATCTAGGATCGTCCAGGCCGTCGTACTTGCAGACTATTGGCAGGGGCGGCGCTACTGGCTGATCCGCTGGCGTCACACGGGTCAGATGCAAGTCCTTGAGCAAGCAGGAAGTGAGAAACTTCATCTCGCGTCGTCTTGACTTGGCTGGACTTCTGGGAGCGTTTCAGGCAACTGCCCATTTGTGGGAGCTCTTCCAGCAGTGGAGTAGACAGAGTTCTTGTTTCGACAAGCACGGAACAGCTGCCAGATTGAGCTATATCGAGCTCCGAGGCCCAAGAAGCTTTGCTGGCACTGTGTGGAGCGGGGCCTCTGTTTGGGTGATTGGGGTTTAGGACTTTTGGGTTTCGGGGGCTGTGAGTTCACTAACCGATCTAACAGCCTTGGAGCAGGGACCGCTTCCAAGAAGCCGAAAGGCAGCGACGATGCTCGGAGATACAGCAGACCCTGAACCCTTAACCCTGAGCCCCTAGTGCCTGTGACCTGTTCCAAGGACTCGAGGCTCCAGCGGATGGCCAGTCTGGCTTCGGCTCTGCAGGTATGGTTTTCCCGACTACTGCGCCTCCTTTGCTTCCGGGCTGCAAGTGACACTTTGGGAATCTTTTGTGCTTCCGATTCTGCGTGCTCGGGCATCGTGGCTGTGAGCCTTCACACAATGTGCCAGATGTCCTGCCACTCCTTGCTCGCAGCTTCTGGTTCCCATGGCATGGCGGGCATTTGGAGAGCCGTAGATGTAGCACTCGCAACGGCTGGCACACACTGTCGGAAAGCCCGTCAGAGATGTCGTCTATACAGTGTACTATACAGTATAGTACTTATTTTAGAATATTATAGTACATTATGGTACATTATAGCACGTTATAGTACATTATGGTATATTGTATTGTTTACGTTTTGACACACGCAGAGCACTACAGACCCGAGCTTCCACCCTGGGTACAGCAAAGTGCCTCCCATTTCCACAGAGGGCAGAGGTGCAATCCATGGGATCGTCGCTCGATTTCCTACTTCTTACGACGCAAGCGGTTTATCTAAATCCCGAACCAAGACTTCTTAGAACCTTCACCCACGACCCCAAACGGGTCATGCCTCGTCGCGCAGCAGCTGGGACCGATCAGCTAGAGGCGGACGGCGAGGGGCGGTGAGGAAACCCTTCTCAACTTTATCAACCGGAGGTCATTGGCTTCAGGGTGTTTCAACTCTTTGACGAAGTGGCGTGGACTGATTGTCTGCTGAGGAGTGGCAAAGCAGGTCCTTTGAATCAGTTGGTGCACCGCAATTTGACAAGGAAAGTCCGTTCCCGAATTGGAGCCAATCAAGCCGAAACCCCTACCTCTGCAAGGCGGATGCTTCCGGTGCAAGATGCTTCGCAGGCCGTAGCTGAAGCGGGCAGGTGTGAGGGCTCGAAGGGGTTGGACGTTCGTATCTCTAGGAACGGTGCAGTACAACATATTCCAATGCTCCGTTCTGACAATTTGGCTCCCAGATTCGGGCAGTGGGTTACAAATTATCAAGCTGTCATCTGTGGCATCTGAGCCATCGGATCGAGTGGTGCAGATGTGTATACTGTACACACATTCATATATGTTATATGCATAATTTGGCTTATATGACTGCTGTGGTGCCCTACCCCAAACTCTCCAAGCCAAAGCCAACGACATGAGCGGTTCTGTCGGGTGGCAGGGCAGGGTCCGACAGTTGCATGAACAGAACGGGCTCTCCTGTTTGTAATCGACCTCGGTTGCATAAAGTCCAGAAGCCCCAAAACCTAAACCCAGGTCCAGTCCACCAATGCAACTCTATAGCCTGCGCCTCCAACACGCATAGGATCTTCGAAAGTCTTGAACCAATAACCCTGAGGTCAAATCCATCAATGAGTTTACCGACTCATTGGCCAAAGCTTTGGCGGAAGGTGACGGCATCCCATCCAAGGCCCCTGTGGCTGCATCCAAAGCTTGGCAGCACAAGAAGAAGAAGAAGCAGACGAAGAAGTAACAGCAGTAATTGCTGATGATAGAGGTGGTGGCAGCAGCAGCAGCAGCAGTGCTACTACTAGGTACCAGTGGTGGTGCTAGTGCCCGCTAGAGTTAGTTCAGTGCCGGCCCGGCACCACTCTGTCCGTGTTGTTGAAGCAGATGTGATTGCATTTCAATAACCTTTCCCTTGCCTAGTACAAGTATTCGCAAAGCTCTACTGTTAGGTACATGTTCATACACGTGAAGAAGCAAACGAATGAGCATGTAAGTAAGTATGAACCACATGCAGTACATATTGGTACATGTAAGTAACGTTTATGTACAAACTTGACCAGATTCTCTGGTCCATGTACAGATTTTCATACGAGGCCTCGGCCAGCATTGTACATTATAGCAACATGGGGGCCGATCCTCTAATCGGTTTCTCCATCCTGTGCTTTGCAAAGCAAGGGCGAGTACAGGTATATCAATGCAGTTTACGTTTATGTACACAGCGATTTGAAAAGTATATCATGGTATCTAGTGAAGTGTGTGTATTGAGTCTGCGTGGCTGCGTATGCACGTCGCTTAGACGGTTGAGTCAGAATATGCCGACGGCAGCCTGTGCTGAGCCTCATGTGCTATCATGTCCGCACACTGTGCATACCTAAGGCATGGTCATGTGGCGGCTCACCTTGGTATTTTGACCTACCCGCAAATGCAGGTCAATGTCTTCCTATGCATAAGTGTAGTCTTGGTCTCTGTATGCATGCATGCATGCATGTACGTACTTGTGTATGCATGTACAGTCTCAACTCATTGTGGCACTACGTCCTTAAGCCCTAAACCCTAAACCCTAAACCCTAAACCCTAAACCCAAGGCCTGAAAAGGGCCCTAAGCCGTGCGAGGAGCTGACCCGCGAGCTGCTGGCGGACGGCCTGCGACGGGCCTTGGAGATCGGAGGCGAGGTTTGCAAGAAGCGCTTCTTGGAGTCTCGGTCTTATTAGGGTTTAGGGTTTAGGGTTTAGGGTTTTAATAATCAGAATATGGTTTTGGGACCCATTACACTATACTCATAATAAGGAACCCCCAACATAGTATACGTAATTTTTTAGGGTTTAGGTCTTCTGACCTTTCGATGCTCAAAGGTACTAAGTCCATGGGTGATGACGATATTGATGAAAGTGAAGAAGATGATGATGAGGAGGATGATGAAGATCCTTGTGCTGGTTGTGGGCAACATTCGCTTCAGAATTGTGAGTACCGCAGTGACCATTGCAGCCACTGGCATCATGATATGATGTAGCCGAGCACAGCCGTTTCCTATGTTTGTCCTCCTTGCATCGTGGGTATATCAACTGAGGAGACACTAGCTGCCAATATCCACAAGTTCGCTCTGCAGGACCCGATGCCTAACAATTTGTGTGATGCTTTTTGTCTGACTTTTTGGTGCCTTAAAGTCGTAAAGATGAAGAAGTCTTGGATGTTGACGCTCCCCGGCGAGGCCCACCTCTTCCGCTGGCATTCTTGTTACAGGAGCAGTATTCGCTCTCCCGCGTGTACCCCGTTGAGATCAGTCCCAAGCTTACTGCTGCTGCAAAGCCTTGTTCATGAAGAGGCTGTGCAAGCCTGAAGTCAGGGTCGCAGCACTTGAAGACTTGGAGGCTCCGAGTATCGAAATCTTCAGTCCTTCTTCATCGAGTCTGCGACAGAAGGAGACGCCGAGGTGTGCAGTGGAGCAGACGGGCAGGGCGGAAAGAGTTGTTCCCGCACTGGCCACGAACAGAAACTCTGCTTTGCCTCGCAGGTGCCAAGTCGCGGGCTTGGTCTGCTCTTGTGCCAGTGTGATCGGGATCTTAGTGTTGAAGGTCTACATTAGGCCCCTTTGGAACATCTGACCCCTAAACCCTAGACCTAAACCCTGAACCCCCAAACCCTAAACCCTATGAGCCTTAAACCCCTGAGCCCCAAACCCTAAACCCTTATGAACCTGAAACCCCCAAACCCCAGCCTTAAACCCTGAGCTCCCTTTTGCCTAAAGTCCCCGCCAAGGCGCCGGCCGTGCCAGGAGCTCGGTTTTGACGAAGCTCGAGGCTTCCATCGAAAGCTTCTGGGAGCAGAAGAACACAAAAGAATAATGTAGCAAAGCACAGCCTACTTTAGTAGAATATGATCTAATAGGTTATGGTCGCATATATATATATATACATGCGCATATATATATATATCTATAGGTATATGTGTGTATGTATATATGTATGTATATATATATATATATGTATGTGTATATATCTATATATTTATATATTTCATATGTCTATGTATATGTGTATATTCTATAACATTGTACTCTGGTATCTCTATTACGCTGTATTATACTGTATTGTACAAGTACAGTGCAATGTCGTGTGATATATATATATATATATATATGTCATGAGGCCTTCAACGGTACCGCCGGCACGTCGGACCCTCCGGCGCTGTCAGAGTTGCGGAGGACTGCCAAACTCTGGGATAATCTGGGATGCTGGATCTTATTGTGCCGTAGCATTGCTTGTGTTGCTATCATGATTCTTGCTCCTCCGATGGCTTCTCCTGCTATGACCACTGCTGCTGCGAATACCATTAGCATGATTATGCATGTAACTTGTGGCACTACCAGCATCATTCCCGCTGTCACTTTCATCACCAGCATTCCAGCATTCTGGATCAGCCTTACTTGTGTTTTCTTTTTGGATGATTACCCTAAGCCCTAAACCCTAAACCCTAAACCCTAAGACCCTGAACCCTAAACCATAAGAGTTGCTTGGACTTTAACATGTCGCGGGGCGGGCCTTGAGCCAGCTGTCTCCTCAACGCAAAGGCTGCATCCCTGTCAAACAGCTTGATTTAGTCATAGGGACCCTTAGGGGGGTAGGGGAGAGGGGTAGGGGACTATTCTTCATTGAATAGGTGTTATTAGGTCTTTACAATTAACAATGAGGGTGCTTGCACCTCCCCCTACCCCCCAAGGGAATATGTGTACATAAAAAGATATATACATACATAGTACATATATAGATATATACGTACATACATATATACAGATATACTTAT